ACACACACACACACACACACTGCGTTTTATAATAGGTAAGATGTAATCATCGCTTTTTTAAAACAACAAATATTACCAAAAATTGAAGGTAGTTAAGAAAGCGGTGTCATGGGAAAAACAGTCCTTTGACACTACGTCTTATTGCGGGAAGGTTTGTCCATATTTGCCAATATTTCTTTAATAAAACGATATTTATTACTTTAAAAAAATATATTGCTGTTATTTGTGTATTCAATAATATATCTTTATTTATGGTTGTGTGTGTTGCAAAACGCTTCCCGCGGGGTTAGGGAAATAAAAATCTCCATTCTGGGTTCAAATTCCGACTCTGGCTGGTCATGTCAAATGGTACTAATACTCTTTTCATTTCAGATATAGGTTAAATAACAGAGTAGAATAGACTCTCCAGTCTTGGAGAGCAGCCACTCTAGGAAAAGGACAACTCTGAATTCTATACCATGAAGAAAGCAACGGGAAAACACTCCACTATCTTTCCTAAGTTATGGCAAGACTCAAATGATAAAGAAAAAATGAGCTGAAAGGATATGGCATTAGAAAATGCCTAACTGACATACTAATTTTCAATAAATAAATAATTTATAATTAATTTACAAATTAATAAATGACGTGCAATTAATATAATTAATTATAATTATTTATTAAATAATCATTTTTTGAATAAATATTTAATAATAATCTTCATTAAATGGTACCAAGCATAAATAATAACAAAATATAATTATCTTCCCTTAACCTAGTTATATTTTATGCAATTGTCAAATGATAAGAAATGCGTCCCGTGACAGTCTGGCTAGAGGCGCGAAATATAAACCACCTTGCGAGTTGATACCAATCGCTCTGTACAACTTCGCGCCTATTCTATTCAGTTTTTATCGTCGTTCAGGACCGAGCCTACATGACTGACGCAATATACGACAAATTCAACTCACAAGTAATACCTTAATTCCCTTTTCTTTTCGATGACTTTCAATATGAATTCTGTTCTTTACATGGAAAAACTATTGTCACATTCAAGTTCTACAAATATGTAGATACAGTCTCTCTCTCCCTCACTCTCTCCCCCACTCTCTCCCTCCCTTCCACCTCTCTCTCTTTCTAATAGTTATACATGTCCTTTTCCATCTTCACCCATGAACAAAGATATACTATTTTGAGTACTGTAATACTTATGTTGGATACTAAGACAAATATATAACCACCAGCCAGCCAGCTCCAAAAAAAAAAAAAAAAAAAAAACGGTCCCAAATTTTATCATGCAAATCAATATTTTCACAATTAAATTAGTATTAACCAACCGATATTTGGAAACGTTTCAGCATGCATCATCGTCATCATCATCATCATCATCACAGTCCCATGACCGACTGTGGTCGTAGGGTCGCTGCACAGCTGCGTGCCTGACCCACTCCCTGCTCATGCCAATATAGGTATGCATTCTTGCGTCATCTCTCCTGGGCAAATAGACCTGGCGAAGCTCATTCTTCTCCAGGTCAGTGCATAGACCACGTGGCCGCTGATTCCGTTGAGGCAATCCTCCGCCCAGGTCGATGTCTTCAGTCTCTGCCCAGCAATGCTGCGCGATTACTGATTTGACTGAGACTTGCCAGTAATTCAGTCTCGTGTGCAGATTCAGACTGCAGCCGGGTGAAAGTCTCTGTAGTGACTCTCTCTCGGCTGAAATCCTCACTGGTGAGATCCTCGAAACTACTACACATGGAGTTGTCGGCAGTTCGGTGACAGTGAACATAAACTAAGGCTAAACTGATATTTATATGATCAATATATCATAAAGATTTCAGTTTATAATATCTCTCTATATTAGAAATATTGATAACTTGTTTGGGGGATTTTATTATGCAAAGTGCGTTATAGATTGCTATTTGTGAATACATTCAAAAGCTACTGTCCATTTAAACATATATTTGATTAACACAATATTCTATATAGATGAATAAATTATTATTTTAATATTTTATATGTTAATGTGGGCCATTTGACATACGTTCTATAACCTTCCTCAGACTGTCACTCATTGATTTTCTGAACTCTTCTACTGTTTCAACTTTAACATTTATTCTCGTTCTAAGTCTCTTTTAAATGATAGGCCACAAGCTTTCTCTTGGATTGATATCCAGAGAGGTTAGGAACCATTCGATTCATTTCAGTCAGTTATGTACCATGCGTAAAACACGCTTAGGCGATCATGTATCTTTCGATACATGTTCGTGAGGAAAAAAAATTACCTCGTCAGTTATTGACGAAGCAAATTTTTTTTCCCCGCAGTAGGTTGCCATTTCTTTCTGCGGTAGACCAGTTGCCATCCAAGGCTATAGAATCTGGTTTGTCTTGCTATTTATCCATAGCTGGGGGAGAAGATTCATACCTTTCCCAATGGTATTAGAACGTAAGTGAATGTAATGGATTCGACTGGAATTCGAACTTGGCTCTCCGATTCCTCGATCCGAGCCGCTATCCATTT